CACACGAAAATGGAGTTTTTTCACACGAAAACGGATCTTTTTAAAAACTCCGGCCAAAGTGAAGATCTGCGTTTTCTCCGTTTTGGGTGTCTGCGTGTGGACGGACAAAACCGGAGTTTTAAGGTCCGCAACGTCACTTTCCGCGACAAAAAATGCTGACATCACGTGTGCGACCTGTGTTTACACTAGCCGACAGCATGGAAGCCTTCAGAGCTGCGCTCTGTCACTACCCGATCCATCAATTGTCCAAGCGCTTTCTGCTTGTTTGTTTTTGCAAGCGGAATTACTGCTCCTTGCGGAAGACCACAGACGAAGGACGAGGTTAAGAACGGGGGAAGTACTGCCGCCTACAGGTCTGGCATGTCCTTAACAACGTATTTATCCGGGTACGTGTGGACAGAGTTTGTTTTTAAAATGCGGAGGTGTGGATGCAAGTTTTTGGAGGGGCGGATATTCGTTTTCAAAAGCCCCCGGCTACGTGTGGACTAGGCCTGAGTAAGTCGAAAAAAATAACGCAATAAAACATTTTATCCAAGGCTGTCTCAGTGCCCCTCCCTGCAGTGGGCTCTGGGTAACCAGTGTCCTTTCCCCCCAGTCCGAAGCCCCTGCACCCATCTGTCCAGATTTCTAGGCTAACTAGGAGCACCACCTTTATCCAAATGTAAACCTGTTTTTAATAAAAAAAATAAAATTAAACACGCTTCATTTGACACATGAACACATTTTCAAACCAGATTATTTGCATTTACATATATTTCTGTCACTGTTTGATCTATGCATCAATGACACCAGACAATCAGTCAATCAGAATCACTTGTAAACCTCGGGCTGAAATAAATAAATAAATAAATACCGTGGCCTCGGTTTAGAAAAACACAATTCATTTTGACTGGTTGATGAGCTAACAGCTAGTCCAAGGGGAGCCAGAAATAGGATTGGTTGATTTCATGACAGACAATGTGACTTCAGAAGAGTATAAGCAATGTGGTAAAGGGCTGCATTCTATTTCTGCAGCTGTGCATGCTGGTTGCAGGAATTTGTTTAAAATGGAATACAGCCATTGATTATTGACCTCTTCCTTCCCTATTTCTCTTTCAAGCTTAAATATCTGCAGTGAGTAGGAGCTCCCACCTTAAAGTCATTATATTAAAACAAACATTTAGTTCGTGCAATACAGAACTTATTAAACTTTTTCAGATGCCGTGATTTTTTTATTTTATGGGCATCAGATGGGTACCGAATTCGGTACTTTTTAAGGTACCGACCGAATTCCATAGTACCGACCGAGCACCGATTCACGCCGCTTCAAACGGTGCCTCGTTTCAGTACCCGTCCTTCATAACGAGAACTTGCCAAGACAGCTGTGCATGCGCAAGACCGTTATGTCGTCGGTCCCTGCGAGCGAGTTGTAAACAGAGCAGCATGGTAGAAAGAACGCACGCTAAAGCTTGGGTCCACTTCACTAAATGTGATGGGTAACTGGGTGATGATGAAACCAGCGACAACGATCTAAGTGAGACATCCTCATCTTAATCTGCTCCGGTAGGTAAATAAAATGTTTAAGATAAAGTTAGCTTGATATGTTAACTTCCGTTTCACTAATGGTGCGTTCGATTTCTCCTCGGAACTCCGAATTTTCGACTAGAACATGAACGCGCTCTAAAGTTTGGCTTCACTTTACTAAATGCGACGAGTGATTGGGTGAAGATGAAACCAGTGACAACGATCTAAGTGTGAGGCATCATCGTTTTAATCTGCTCCAGCAGCTAAATAAACTGTTTAAGATAACGTTAGCTTGATATGTTAGCTTCCATTGCCACCGTTGTTATCAGCTAATGGTGCGTTCACTTTCTCCTCGGAAATTCTAACTTCCCAGTAGGAAAAATCAAATGAAAAAAGACGGCAAAAGGAATGAAGATACACAGTAAATTTAGTTCACAGTAAAGATGTTTGCTTCAGTTTAATTATCAGCTTGTAAAACTACAAGGACGATGTTAAAATACAAACAGTTGAATGTTATTTATCGTGATATATATCAAATATTGTTTTATATTGAGAAAAATATATATTTCATTATAAAAGAGAATTAAAATAATAAACACTCAAAAGTATCAAATTGGTACCGTTAAGTACCGGTATCAATTCGTAGGTACCGGGAATTAGTACCGAATCGATTCAAATGTCAAAGGTACCCACCCCTAGGATTATTGTGACCATTTAACAGGAAGTGTCCCAGACTGTTCCAGAATCATAGTTACAAATTATAATTAGACTCCTGTGTTATTATTCAAACACGTGAAGCAAAACTCAAATCAGAATGCAATTTTTTTTACATTTCTGTTAATTAGTTTAAGTGTAATTCATCTGGAAGTAAAAATACCTACATGTAAGATTTCTTCATAAACCAGCAACAAAGCGTGGCACCGAAGCATTCACAGACACAACAAACAAACATTAAATGCAGCATTTGCTTCTCTAAAGTCTAAATGTTTCTAGTTATTACAGCTTTGTTAACGGCACCAGATGTTTCAGATGTTTGGGGCAGCTGTAGCTCAACAGGTTGAGCGGGTTGTTCAGTAATCGGAAGGTTGCAGGTTCGATCCCGGCTCCGGACAGAGAATTCTGCTGTTGTGTCCTTGGGCAAGACACTTAACCCACCTTCCCTGCTGGTGGTGGTCGGAGGGTCCAGTGGCGCCTGTGCTCGGCAGCCTCGCCTCTCATCCCCACCAGTGTGTGAATGTGTGTGTGAATGGATGAATGATAAACTGTAGTGTAAAGCGCTTTGGAGTCCTTATTCTGAGAGGCGCTATACAAGTGCGGGTCATTTATCATTCATTTATCATTTCATGGAAAGCAACTCCAACAATTCATAAAGTCTAATTATATCTCATAGTGATGACTTTACAGGCCAAGAGTTATTTTAAATGCTGACTTGTTATAATAATAATTTATCACCTGGGGGTGGATGACTGCAGCATGAGAGGCCGTTCACCCCTTGTTGCTGTGTCATGTGTTTATTCAGTGCTGATACATTGATCGTGTGTATTAGTCTCCATGCACAGCTCTCTGACGGGGACAGTACCGTGGTGGGCCCAGGAGCAGACACACAGTTACTAAACATATAAACGCTCACAAATGGAACAAAGTGATCTTCAGCTGAAACCAAAAACAGAAAAGAAAACTGAGAGAAAAGTATCACAAAAAACTGTGAAACATTAATGTGATGACAGTAAAGATGGTGATAAGGGTTATCATATGTTTAGGAACAGAGTTTGATTCTCTGAACCCTTTGAAGTGTTCATTATTAATAATTGTTCTCACCCGCCTTATCTTACTTGGAAAACTTCAGATAACGCTGATAAGAAGGCCATAAATACCGTGTCAGAGATCCACACCGGTTCAGGACACGTTTGAACTGATGAGTTTGGGGATTTCTACCACCAGACCAATAAACTGACTCAACAGAAACACGTACTCATGTTTCATAAATGAACATTTATTGTGTTACATATTATTAATGTGAATTATAATAAGATGTTTATTCACCTTTACGTCTAATTACAAAATAATTTTACATCTTAAAACGATGTGTAAAGAATATACGTGTTGCTTTGGCACAGTGAAAAAAGTTTAAAATATAATTTAAAATACGTCAAGTTTACCAGAACTTTTATATTTTATGTTTTTTTAGGACAGTCTGGTAATATTTATGAAGAGTTAAGTGAGAATGTCATCAAATGTGTCTGATAAATTCTGTTTTAATTATGACAAATACTCTCAAAAGACCAAATCCAACCTTCACTCGTGTCATTTTGTTAGTTTGTTGCACAAACTTCCTGAACGGCTTCATTTGGGAAGATGTGTTCAAATCCTACAGGACTGATGAGCTAACAGCTAGTCATAGTGCACCAAGACCAAAGCCTACTGCTGCCATCCTAAAGCAACTAGCTCAACATCATTTTACAGCAGCTCGTGTGCCATTATTTTGTAAATATTAGTAATTTATGTTTAATTAATAACTATGTTGTCTGTATAAGATGGTGAGGTAACAGTTCATTGAAAAAGTTGCACAAAGTGTGAAAATTGGAACTTGGAGCTGTTTCAACATGACAATAAAGCCTGGTTTATGCTTCTCCGTCAGCTCCGCAAGGGACAGACACGCACGGATTGACGGAAGCGTTTTGCTCTTTTACTTCTCCGTCTCCTGGAGAGCGTTGCAAAGCAATTGCCCGGCAGGACAACAGAGGGCATAGCGCTGTTCTTTGGTATCCTGTCATGTATCGGTCCAAGATCGTGTGTTTATTTTGTGTTTTTTGTGTATATAAGAGACTTTTAACACGGACATATTTGTCTCTCATTCTCCCACCGCTTCATGCGCTCCCCACCTCTAAACCCACGTTTCCTGTTATTTCCGTCCACAAATAAAACGCTTGCTGCGCATCTTTTCACTCCTCCAGTCACGGGAGAATTAAACGTTCATGTTTTTAGAGTTTTTTCGCGAGGTATTCTTCAAGCTTCTCCGTGTCTGCCGCTAGTTAAACTCGGCTCTCTTTGCAATGGCGGCGCTGTAAACAACAGCGGCGTCCTGACCAATCACAAGCTTGCGTAATCCGTCTCGTTCGACGGATGTTTAAAAAAGTGGGCTCGACTCCGTACGTACTTGCGTGCCCTACGCAAGGACGGATAATGGCGTTGCGTGTCTCCGCACTGACGCAGACGGAGAAGCATAAATCAGGCTTAAGACACTGGCCTGGGATGAATTAGGACTAGCAGTTAGCCCATCAATCCTGTTGGAAATAAACACTGTTTCTCCAAACAAAGGCTGTACAGGAAGCTATGCACAAAGGGTAAAAATAAACTATAACTTTTACACAGAATCACACTTCAGAGTGATTAGAATAACAGTTTAAATGAGAAGGAAAGACTAATTTTTTCTAAACAAAACAGTTTTTCTTCTTTCTGTTTAACACAGTTAAAAAAAGGATGATTTACAAAACAAATACAGATCCATAAATGTTTTATTTGGTTTGTATTGCATAAGCCAAAAGCTCTAAGAGCTTTGCGGCTTCACGTCTCACCAATTCTTCAGTTTTAGGCACACACTTCATGACGAAACTCAAGTAAAGGCTTCATAAGAGAGGGTGAGATGGACAGTGCTGACAGATCATGTTGGTTTTGGTCTTTTGATGGACTCCTAATTATTTCTGGACCACTGCAGCTAAGCATTAACAATAAAGGACTTGTCACCATTCCTCACGTTGTATAAAAATATAAATTAGGAGTGACCAAATAAGTACATTTTAAATTCTTAGATCATGGGTCATGACCAGTATTCTCTGCATCATACAAAATCACTCTGAATAAATATAAAATCTCAAAGCTGGGTCTTTTTTAGAATATTTAGCTCTATCTTTATCTCATTTTCCACTTCCTTTTCCACACTCATTGCAGGGTTATCATACACCGCCTTGTGTACTTTTGTGCCATTTAACACAGACTTTTGTTCTTCATGTTCCTCGTTTGTACCTTGGCAGCATTTGCAGCAGCAGCAGCATTTGGCTGTGCACACACCCACCACTTTATCCCAGGGAGCCAGAGAGTGGGCCCAGAGAGGAAGGAAGTCCCAGGAACGCAGAGCTGCAGGGAGGAAGTCAGGTCTTCGTTTCTGCAGCACGTTGACCACCACAATGAAGACTAACACGACAATGAGAGGAACACCAACGCCCACCAGCACCTGCCACCCAGCCAGAGACAGGCTGAACACGAAGAGCGGCAAAACGAAGAAGCAGGCGATGATGTAGACGGCAGCAAACCAGCGGTAGGAGGCTGTGATATTCCCCAGACCTTTAGCCAGTCGGATGGGGAAGCGGGTGAAGGGGATGGGGTACCACAGAACGATGCCAGAGAGGTTAAAAAGGAGGTGCACGAGGGCAATCTAAAGGATCAACACAAAAGAACATTTTATATAGCTGTGATTTTTTTTATGAGTATTTATGTATTTACAGCAACTCTTTTATTTGACTTTTATTTGTTCTATGTGTTGTCTATTATGAATGAACTGATTTGTTTACTTGAGTGTTTTCTATGTGTGTTTTTGGTCTTTGCTTGAAAAATGTTGTGTCTGACACCTTGGTCTTTTATTTTCACTGAAACTTTCTATGGAGGACACACTTGTAAACAAAATGGTTCATATATATATATATATATATATATATATATATATATATATATATATATATATATATATCAGCATGGCTACATATACATATACAGTAAATCCTCTAATATTAGCCTGTATTTAATTAACTGTCAGGTATCATATTTTGGCCGGTGTCGGAGTCGGCGGAGGTGAACAATGGCTGTTTTTTTATTGTGGCCGGGTGGAATGTGGTAACAAGCAAGTACAGGGGGGCGCTTGTGTCATCTGTCTCACTTTTGATTTGCCAGTGATAGACCGCGAGGGTAACTTTAACCGTGCGGAGACGAAGAGGAGGGAAAATTTTGATATCAAGTTCAAAGAGAACATGCTGATTATGCTGCAGAACACTCTGGGGAGCAGTAGCAGGGGTTGTATGAACTAGTCGACTAGTCGACTTCACCGCTCTATAGTGACTTTTTATGACTGTCATCGACTAGTCGCTGTCACGTGATAATGACCGGCAAGATGCAGTCCACGGAAAAGACAGCAAATTGTGACATTTACCCTCAGTCCACACACACAAACACACACACACACACACACACACACACACACACACACACACACACACACACACACATATATATATATATATATATATATATATATATAATAAACCACAGTAAGAAATATTTACTATATATATATATATATATATATATATATATATATATATATGTATGTATGTATGTATGTATGTATGTGTGTATATATATGTATTTATATACCTACATATGTACATATATATATATATATATATATATATATATATATATATATATATATACATACATACATACATATATACATACATATGTAAAATAAACCCCAGTAAGAAACATTTACTGTGCTCTCAGTGCTGAAATAAATATAGTAGAAACAATGACAACAGGTGTTTTCCCATGAAAGGAGAGAAAAGGGCGGATTGTGGTCCAGGAGGATTTAACCTGACCTGAACGGTAGCACGTGAAGACATGAATTCACTTCTTAGAGCAAAAGTGACGAGGACCTACTTTATAGGTAATCATTAATAGCTCATGAATGGGTAACAACGAAGTGACAGTTGAGTAATCATTAACTGTGTTTCATGACTGAAAGGGATGTGATTGGAAAAGTAATGAGTAGGTAGTTGTACTATAAGTACTCTATAGTAGTACTCAGGTGTTCAAAGTCATTTTTCCTCTTTTTCTAGTTTTCCTGCTTCTTTGGTCACATGAAAAAAGAGGTCTGCAGATTTTATTCTAAAATATTCAGTAAATATTTGTTAATAAATAACATTATTATGTCATTTTGTAACTCGGTGTATATTTAGTTTAAAGTGTTTTAAGGTTCTGCTGAATGTTTCATAATCAGTTTCTCACACACACTTTCATGCAGTGTTTTCAATACGAAGGGCCGTTCAGCACTTATCATCGATCATCAATCCTTAGCTAGATGTGATCAAGAGTTCACTATTAGATAACGGTGAACTCACAGTTAGTCTCTGACCCAAACACCAGGATGATCTGATCACCATAATTCTGCTGGAACCCGAATCTTTTGCATACAATTTCTTATTATTCCATAATTAGAACGTTAGTCATTTTTGTTTTATTTAGACGATTTTTAATTTTCTTTTTTAATAATTTAGCTGTTATCATTTAAAATTGTTTTCTTCTGTTAGGATCACCTCTGAGACGGTTTCATAGCCACATGTTGTTGTTTGAGCTTCATTTCATGTGCAAATCTTGATTTTAAGGGAAACGAGTTGCTCAGAGATTAAGTCAGACATTCCAGCTGATTCTATCGTGATTATTCATTTTAGTTAAAGTGTAAATATTGAGTTTGTTTTGTTTTTGGTTATTTTTTAAATAGCAAATGTCTTTTTTATTTGTGATATAGATTTAACGTTTATTAGCTTACCTGATGTTCCAACAGCATTTAAATATTTTAGTCAAGATTTTGATCGTTTTGACTGAAAACATAAAGATTAAAATAATCCAATAATTCATATCAAGGGTTATAAAAGCATTACTCAGTGTATTTGCTATTTAAAATAAACATTTGTAGACAGGTTTTAGTGCTCATAAGATGTGGGATAAAGCTTTACATAATTGTGCCTTTTTTGAAAGAATGACTCACCTGCAGCGCGTTAGCCAGCTTGTCTCCTGGACTAGCCATGGCCGCCAGTATGGCCGTGGTGGTAGTCCCAATATTTGAGCCTAAAGACAGCGGGTATGCCCGCTCTATGCTGATGACACCAATGCCTACATCAGCAAAACACACTGGTGGTTAAAAAGTGGATTTCACACAAATCAGCTCTAATGAAACCAAATAAAACATTTTAGCTATATGACTGATGGAAAATTGACTTCACCAACAAGTGGAGTGATGGCCGACGTGAACACCGAGCTGCTCTGCACAATGAAGGTCATTCCTGCTCCGACTAAGATGGCGATGTAACCCGTGACCCAGCCAAAGGGAAATGGGAAATCTGCAAGAGACACACATTAGCATTCCGCTGATCAGTTTGTCTCGTGCAGCACGTCCAGTGTGCACAGCTGCTCACCAGTGTTGATGATCTTCTTGATGACTAGAGCCACCTGTCCCTTTAACATGGAGTTTAGCAGCTTGACAATCAGAACCAAGCAGGAACAGAGAACCAGCAGAGACAGAGCCAACAGGATCAGACCAATGGCCAGATCAGTCAGATTCACATCCACAAAGAGGTGCTGACCTGGGGGAACACGCGTTACTACAGGGACTGGATATCATCACAAGAACTCTGTATGAAATACATCTAAATATTTGCCCATGGACCTTAAGGGAAGTGCAATTAAAATAAACTGTTTTTACTACTAGCACATGGCACCATTTTCCTCAACTCATTACAGAAATACTCAATAGTTTCACTGGTCTTACATTTCTTTATGTAATAAGTCTCAGACATATTTTTCAGTGTGATGGTGGTGTTCCCATCGACCCAGCAGAGAGACGGCGCCGTACAGTTCTCTGGCCCAGAAACCGTCATGTTCTTTAAGGTCTGAAAGACAGCAGCGGTTTGACAGAAACTTAAAAAAGCATCTATAATATTAAAGGTGTATGGCCCATCTGACACATTTTACTACACGTCTTACTGTATTGGTGTAGGTCTGGCACCATTTCTTAATGAAACTCTTGTTTTTGGCTTCTGGGATTCCAATGGCGATGTCTCTGATGACAGACTCGTCCAGCTGAGGTAGGAGAGATAACAATCTTTTACAGAACCTCTTATCTGTCTGATAACGTTGTGGACAGGAAAACAGCGAAATGACGATAATCACAAACATCAAATGTAAACGGTGCCGCATGCGTGGCACCTGGTAACAAAATGGCTGTCCCATCCCAATCCCATCCTCCGCACTGGTTTTCGATAAAGAACATGACTCCTTTTCATGACATCTCACCTGTATGATGGACTCAGTCAGGGGGTCAGTGATCACATTTAACAGGTCTGGGGCTTCCCCGCTCTGGATATGAAAGGAGTCGATGATGAGCTTAGTGAGGATGTACAAATACCCAGTGGCAGCTTCCAGAGGCAGCAGCACCAGAACAGAGAGCCAGTTAAAGAAGTCATGCACCGTAGCCCCAGCAAACGCCCTGGAAACATGGAGAATAAACCACATTCAATATATCTGATCCTCTCTGACTTGGCCTAAATATCATATTTTTCAAACTGTAAAAGAGCCCGGAGAAGTTTCTACAAGCCTCTTTGGTTTTGGTTTAGAAGAGTAGAAAACAATGAACATCTAAAGTGACATTGTAATTACCGTTAATCTCTGGAAGCATTCATCAAAATGTTGTTGCAAATGAATTAAATGATGTCCAGTTTTTGAAAAATATTGGCAACTTTGTAACATTTAACCATAAAAATTGGGTCTACAATTCATGGGAGGGGTCTAAGTCACTGGATGCGGCCATATTAGACATGATATTTGTTTCTACGGGAGCCTACTAAGTCAAAATGCATTTACTGATTTGTAACAAACGGTTACAAAATGTCGGCCATTCATAAACGTTGTTGTTTTGGACATTTACCTCTTCATTCGTTGCCAGTGATGAAAGGGAGTCTGATGTGTTTGCTGGAGGTTGCGCTCACGGGGATTTTTGAGCCTAATGGCCATCCGTTGGTGGGGTCTTACTCGAACACAAAAATACCACTTGCTTGAAATGATTCAGGTACGTACTGCCCCCTATCGCCAGGGAAAGTACACACCGTCACTTTAAATCAAAAGTGTTTCTGTTGTCTGGGGCAGCAGTAGCTCAGGAGGAAAAGCAGGCTGTCCTGTAATCGGTAGGTTTGATCCCAGCCCGGACTAGAGAATGCTGCTGTTGTGTCCTGGTCCACTTAACCTGCCTTGCCTGCACCGGTGGCGCCAGTACTCAGCAGCCTCACCTCTGTCAGTGAGCCCCAGGGAAACTGTAGCTACGCCGTAGCTCATCCCCACCAGCGTGTGAATGTGGGTGTGAATGGGTGAATGACTGATTGTGTTGGCACGTTGGGGGGTTGCAGAACCCTAAGAAGGCGCTATACAAATACAGGCCGTTTACCTTTCATAGATTTGAATAGAATAGACTTTATTGTAATTGCTCATGGCAATTAAATTACAGATGGTCCGCCATCAACAGTGCACAAGACAATAAATGTCAAAAGCCATAAAGGACTAAAAACAACTTAAAAACATTTAGCAAACATCAAGAAAGTACAACCAGTGATTCAGATCTGCTAATACAATAAAATGATTTAAAACAGATTAGTCCACATTACTGATGGGGATGTGGGGGGTTGAATGGTGCTGTTGTGTTGAATGTTCTGATGGCCCAAGGGAAGAAGCTGTTGGAAAGTCTGGCGGTGTGTGATTTAACTGACCTGAAGCGGCGCCCTGAGGGCAACAGTTCAAACAGGCAGTGGGCAGGGTGGGTGGGACTACCTTGGTGATAGTAAACGTGAAAAACAAACAGCTGGAATGTAATCTCTGAATTTCTGACCTTCTTCCATCTCGACTAATTGCTCAGTGTGTGGGAGAATGACTGTGTTGCGTTTGAAACAGCTGTTTACGGCTGCAGCGATAAAAGCTCATGAGTCCTTCAGATACTGTTTCACCATGTCAGCAAAATTAGTTTGGCTCATTTTCTTTATGTTCCCAAATGGGGAAAAGTCCTTTGTTACCTGCGGAAGGTGCTGCGGTCACCAGCCTGCGTCATGGCAACCAGCGTGTTGGTTACAGAGGTGCCGATGTTGGTGCCCATGATGATGGGGACGGCCATCTGCACTGTTAAAACTGCCAGAAGACACAGATGTGATGTTTGTCTCACTCCTCCACATATGAAACCTTAAGACTACTTGAACTCTGTCTGAGTGTGCGGTGTAGACGCTCCCACTCACTGCCAGCGGAGACCATGCTGACCACTATAGAGGAGGAAGTGGACGAGCTTTGGACCAGCAGAGTAACCAGAACACCAATGACCAAACCAGCCAGGGGGTTGGACAGCACCGAGCTGTCCTGGAAGATTTCACCTGCTGTTTTACCTGGAAGAGGTGAGAACTGAACTGAATTCATTATCTGAACCACTTAATCTTCAGTAGGGTGGCAGAATTGGACATTGTGGTGCTGCACATCACAGCAGAATTCATTTATGACATTAATCTACATTTCATTTGCAGATTCTTCAGCTCTGTTACCTCCAGCAAGCTGAAAGGCTGAGCTGAGGATGTCGAGGGAGCAGATGAACATGTAGAGGAGGCCCAGCAGCAGAATCAGCTTCAACACCGACACCAGAACTCTCAGGGCCTTGCCTCTGGTGTCCAGAGCTGAAACGAACAAAACAGGAGACACGAAGACCATAATTTATCTGATCCTGCCTTTACTGTCAAATAGCTGCAAAATAATTAAATCCAATTAGATTTAATTTTGTGCTTAACTAATGCAATTTTGATTATTTACTTGGCCTTATCTGATATTATTGCATGCCACTGAGAAGGCCCTTTGCTCATTCTAACATTGATAACTGGTCGGTGATGTCTTGGCACGAACTCAGCAGTTTACACCACAGATCACATTTATTATGTCTGATTATTATCCAAGTAATTAGATTGTTACAGATCTGTTCTTCTCCTGATAAAACAAAATGCTGATAGCATCATTAAAGTAAATGAAATGAGTTTTTGATCAATACAAAAAGTTGCTTAAGAATCAAACATTTAACAGATCTCTAATAAAAAACAGACTAAAAGAAAAAATCTTAAAGTGAATAAATACAAAGGAAGTTTTCTGCTTTAATTTAGCATAAAATAAATGATTGTATCAGGAGGGACTGAAAGAAGGGACCACATGAAGAAAGGACACACGAAAGAAGCACGAAAAGAGCCGATGCATGATTGTTCCAACTGAACAGAGAATAACAAACATTATGAACACACAAATGGATCATTAATGGCGCCCCACCTGACCACGGGACTCCTGTGTCCTTTATTTCTGGCAGATCCCATGGATCCCTTTCCTCTGAGTCCGGCTCTACCAGCGCCACGGTGGAGTGTGCAAGGTTCGGTTTGGCTTCTGGAACAAAACACTAGAGTTTAAGAACTAAAATGACAATGAACTGCTTTCAGCATATTTTCTATCTATGTCTTCTTAAAGCATGAACAGAATATGACGTTAAGATAAAATTCTAAAAATTGGGGTTAAGTGTACAATATTATAACTGTATTTTTATTATTAATATTAATATCTTATCTTACTTTTATTTCCTTGTTCATTAAAAAAATAATAATAATCAGATAGACCTTTGCATTTTCCCTGGTATTTCTCATCCTGGTTCTCCATCTTTTTCTGAGAGTGACAGAAAAAACATTTCAACGTTTATTTTCATTTATAGCAAAAAAAATCTTAGATTTTCTTCTACAGTCGATCTTTTTCCTTTCTTGTTTTTTTAACTGACTTAATGTAACTTTGAGCTAACAAAACTATACATTAAACACACATGAAAGCACACACACACACACACACACACACACACACACACACACACACACCAGATTATTGATCTCTCTGTCACATACTGTGGTTGCAGTAAAATTCCATCCACACCACGCTGCCACACAATGAAAACTGAATCAGTGTCAGGCTGGGAATGACCTTTTTCTTCTCCATGAAGATCTAAATGCTTAAATTTTATTAGGCTTGGCATATATTAGTTAACAGACAGCCACGTTAAAGTCCAACACCGATACGGTCCTTTGTGCCGAGTCTCTATTTGTTAAATGAGGAAAGACTTTGCTTTAACTTATAGAAACACCTGTCTCCTACACAAAAACACAGACAGCAGCGAAACCTTACACAGATGGAATCAAACCAGCTGTTTTGCTCACCTGCAGCAGGTAAAGTAAGTCGGTGATCCTCTAGACTCACCTGGGCTTTGGGGCTGGACGTGCTGCCCTCCACACAAATAAGGTGGAAGTGTTGGGGGGGCATCAGACCCGACTGGGATGTACAGATTCACGTCCGACGCACAGATAAGCACGAACACACCTTTCAAACTTTGATTAGCCTTACCTGATGCCAGCGTCCCCTCGCTCCCTGTTGTGTCGCAATCCAAACCCGCATGGTGTCTGATGATAAGTGGTCGTCTTTCTGCACCTGCTGTCTGTTAGCTTTTTATCTCAGGAGCTCCTAAAACTCATGGCAAGTCTCATTTTTTGAGGCGTCTGTTTGTTTGCTGAGAAAATCCTGATTTTAGTTTTTTTTTCCTTTGCCTATGTATTCTGTCCAGCTACAGTGAGACTGTAAATCCAGCAGGTTGATCCTTCGATTGAACACATGAGAGGGCAGTCAGATAGGTGACGGCTGGTCCGGATCTCGTGGGGATGTTTGGTGTGAGGCAGGATGTGCCCAGAGTCAGAAAGCCACAACTTGAGTTCATAAATGGGTTCTATTTTTGGAGCAACACTGATAAGCTATTGACTTTCCTAATATAGTTACTGGTCAATACTTTGGAACATCACCGACCCGGGTTCTGACCCATAAAACTGTTGGTGGCAGCTCAGAGTCACGTCAGGCCAGACTAATGTAGCGACTTTCCATGAGAGAAGAGGCGGGACAGCTGTGGGTCACATGAAGGGAAATGCTCCTCTACCTGTCTCTTCTCTGGGAACCAAACTTATCCTAGCTGCAGCTCACTGAAACTGTTTTAATGTGCAATAACATGTTTATACTAGTTTTACAAAAAGTCCGACCTTTATCAATACCTGAAACTCTAAGAATGATGCAAAAAGCCATTTATGTAAGTGATTCAACAAGACTGAGAGACCATGTAAAGCAGGGCTATTCAGTTCCAGGCATCGAGGGCCGGTATCCAACACGTTTTGGTGTTAACCTGCTTCAACACACCTGATTTAAATCAGTGGGGGATTAACAGATTTCTGCAGAGCCCGATGAGCTGCTGCACAGGTGATTCAACCACTGACTCAAGTGTGTTGGGCCAGAGAAACCATTAAAACATGCTGGATACCACATGGAATAGCCCTGGTCTAAAGGCTCAGGAACTCTGCAGATGTTCTGGATTCATTAGCTGATTAGAGCGTGAGACCTTGAGTCTAGAATATTGAACCTTTTCACAATATTCTAATTGTATCAGATTCTGAATTTGGGGTTTTCATAAGCTGTAAGCCACAATCATCACAGTTATAACAAACAAAGGCTTAATTATCTGGATTAGCATGTATTAGCTTCACTTTTTAGGTTGAATTACTGATATCAGATCTAATTTCCCAGAGTTACCTGGTCCAGGAGGGCAGCACAAGAGCAAAACAGAGAATTACATGAGTCACACGTTACAATGAAAGCACGGCGACAGACAAAAAAAGGTTGGGATGATTCAGTGAGCAAAGCAGCTACACTTACGCAGAGAGCTGGTTTATCAAACATTTAAGTGTTTTAAATAGACCTAAAGAAATCAGTTGTGTAATTTTCAGTTCCTACTTCTTTTTCCAAGAAGATGGAGCGATAAAGTTAAAAACAATTTTCCCAAGTTCTGTTCTGATTCTAGAGATCCACAGTGGCTGGGCAGCACTGGAACACAGACCATGATGGATTCGACCATTTTGCAAATTCACACTTAGATAAGGAATGAGTCCTATGAGAGACCTGTAGATGGAGGCAGCAGCATAGAGGGAGCAGAGACGTGCATGGAAGTGCAGTGACTTTAAAGTAAGACGTTCATAAATGATCTGCTGAAAGTAACCAAATCAAACACATGAACGCTTAAAAATACATACAAGGAATTAAATCTAAATAAACCTGATTTTAGTTTAAATATGAGTTCAGATGTTATTTGTTTTAATTTAAAGGTTGAATGTGGAGTAATTTAATAAACAGCTTTTTTTTTTTTAAATAATACCTCCACGGGGCGTTTAGAGGCATGCAGAAGGTACAGGATTTCATGTAAAAGCTATATTTTATTTAAAAAAACAATCAAATATTTATTTTGATGGGTACAACACTGGGTTTATGTTTACATCTACCAGCCAGTAGAGGGCACCATTGAGGCACAGCGAGGCTAGCTCTGTGGCAAAGAGGAGTTCCAGGACTCTAGAGGGTGCTATTTCAAATACAGGCCATTTACCATTTACCATAAAACCAGAGTGAGTTTAGGTGAAGCCGACAACAGATGGACCCAAATTAAAAAATGTCACATATCGGTTGTGAACCTGGAATCCCGACGGCTGGAAACCTTGTTCTATTGTTGCAACTACAACCTCCAGACACTAGATGTCGCTTTGGTGTTCGTGTTCCACATTCAGCCTTTAATTATTTAGTTAACTTCCAAATTCTGACAACAGACACTTTCTGAGATTTCTTATAGGTTTGAATGAAACATAATGTACGGCAGAACATCAACTGGTGGCCCGCAGGCCACACCCGGCCCACCAGACCTCTCCATCCGGGCCGCCAATAATTAATGAATCAGGAATAGAGAAAATGCCTGTTCTACTTTTTCTATATCAAATTAAACAAACCTGACAACAAACTCAGTTCTTATTCAACATTTTTCTTTAATCAGCAGCAGCTCTTAGATTCTCAGTTTTTCCTCTATAATAGTGCATAATTTCACTGTCTCAACAAAAAACACTCACAGAAGGAAAGCAACGCATGTACAAGCATCCTATTCATGAAGTGGTTCCGCTCTCCATCATTTTGACGTCGTATTTCAAGCATGCTGTTTGCCAAAAAGTGTTTAAAGTCTTGTTATTTTCCCCCATGGGAGCGCTTTATGTAACTTTATTTTACTTATTAGCGTGTTTCCTTCTAGTGGTTGGCTCTGCCTACCAACCTGCTAAATATTGTTTACTGAACATAAACACTGACAAATGCTGAAAAGACACAACAGAAATTTGGGAGAAAGATTATTATATCAAATATTAATATATTAAGATACAACAATAATTGGAATTTATTTTAGAAGAGCATCTGGTCCTCACAGCTGCTGGAAAAAGCTCTAACCCTTGAACAAATCTAGTAGAAGACCCTTGATGTAGAAGATCTCTTAGCCCTGCTTATACTTTTGTGCCAGTTAAATAAATGTGTAGTTAAAAAAAATCTAATTTAAATGTGGCTGTGTACTTTTAATCTTTATGAGAACTTAAATGTGACAAAATGTCATTAAAACACTAAATGTGGCTAAATGTTGGTGTTTAATATTTCACAGTCGATGCCACAGAAAGGTCATCATTAGATTTCGTTACATCCCACTTTGTTTAATAGTGACTGGTAGAGTTCATTTAATGCAGGCAGTTCACGTTTTTGTGTGTGTGTGTGGGGGGGGGGGGGGGGGGGGGGGGGGGGGGGGAATGAAATCGGTGTAAATGAGGCCTGTTTGTTTGAGTAGATAATCTAATCCGTGACGTTGTTGGGTCCAGTTAGGGTCTAATTAAATGTCAGTGTGGTTTGCTTAATTAACCCCACGATGACCCAGTGAGAAAATTACTGATTAGCTCAGATAGCTTAGTGCCTCTGCACAGCCTTATGAAGCTATATAAAGGTCTACAGAGGATATGTTCGTATACTGACGTCCCATTACACCACGTAGAGTAGAAAAAAACTGCTCATGTTTGGCCTTCAATGTTATGTAATAAAACTGAGTGAATGATAAATGCATCAGACAGTTGTAGACATGTAGTTGTCTAGTGTTCTCTAAACAAGTCTGTGATGTTTATTCATTCTTGTTTCCATGTGAAAAAAGCATGATCATTTTGCAAGTGCAACAGCATCATCTAGGCTTTGTATATTGCTACTACATTAAACTCAGTTCTTCATACTGATCAGAAATAGGTAACCCCAGCTCGTGTGCAATTGTGGGTTTGATCTGATACAACATACAATTGCAATTTTATATAAGTAGAAAAAGAAAATATGCACAAATTGGTGAAAAAATGTACAGCTGTTTTAAAGGGGAATAAAAGCAAGTAAACTATCAAACTAAAAAAATCTATCAGGGACTACTGGGGAAACCGTTGTAATAAAGTGCGGAGGTGATGAAGGACGTCATAATGTAAATAAATGTTTTTAATAAATGTCTGAAATACTTCATTATGAACATTGGAACTTGCAGAGAGGCATGTTTAGCTACCTTTGGAAGAAGATGGTGCAGCACGAGCTGCCATTGCTTGTCTTGTGTTGCATATTTTAATGTCCTTATTGTGGAAATATGTTCCCTTTTGTATTGTGTTCATTTTTTCATTTCATTTATTTTCGTTTATTTATTTATATAGCGCCTTGCCTTCCCACAACCGGTCAAGGCAGCCCAAAGCGCTGAATACGATAAAATACAAACAATAAAATTATAAAATCAACATGATCAAATGATAAAAAAATACATGCCAAATATAAAATTATCATGAAGAAATCATTTAAAATTCAGTTAAGACAACTGGCAGCAGTTAAGGGATCTGAGCAGTTAAAAGTCTATAAAAGACATACCTAGGGTGACATCATACATCTGTGATGCTGTATCAGTTTGGTTCTAAAAGACCTCAAGGATGTTGCCTGTCTAACTTCACGTGGCAGGCGGAAGTGATGTGTCGGTCGCGAACGAACCGGCTCTAAGAGCCGGCTCTTTGAAGTGAACGACGGGAGCCGGCTCGTCATTGGGAGCCGTCCCCTCCCCTCCCCCCCTGCCTTGGTGAAAGCTACAGGCGATTGGTCAACATATGTAACTGTGTGTCCAGACTGTCCACACACAGAGCAGTAGGGGCGGGGAAGAGGTAGGATCATACTCAGACACACAGCAGAGCACATGTGGGAGGAGGGAGACGAGAGGGAATGAGGAGGAGGAAAAAGGCGAGCGAGAGGGAGGAGAACGCGACGAAGACGGTGAGAAAATGAGCGCCAGCAGTCGGAAAGTGGAGATTTCTTAAAATGTTCAGTTATTAAATCCATAGAAATGATAAAAGATATATTGCTTTTTTTACATTAGTAAATTATTTTACATATAGTTTAGCATTATTTTGGTTATAAATGTACTCTACGCAACAGAAAATCTGAGGAGCCACTTGGGAGCCAAAAGAGCCGGGTCTTTTTGGTGAGCTGAGCCAAAAGAACCGGCTCTCTAAAAAGAGCCGGAATTCCCATCACTAGCAGGCGGTTCCACAGCCTGGGGCTGCAGTTGCAATGGCTCTGTCGCCACGACAATTGCGCCTCGACCTCGGCACAACCAAGAGGTCATCAGCAGCAGAGCGGTGTGATCTTGAGGGGACGTGTCTCCTCCACTCATAACATGACTCGGGATCAATCATGTGACCCCTGGTGGCACATTGGAACATTTTAATACTTTTTGTCAGATATTGGTACCTACCAAAAGTTTTCACTCAG